TAATATTTACTAAGTTATTTGCCATGCAATATATTTGATATGTTCAAATTTTTTTCATAATAGGGTCCTTTTGAAATAAAACAGTTGCATTTGTATTAACTCTCAGCCACTACGATTAATTCTTACTAGCTTAGTTGTTTCTTTTTTTTTTGTTGGAATTTTTCCTACTTTTGTTGACATTTACTCTCGCCCTATTAGGCGCATAGTTGAGACATCAATACACCCATATGAATGTACAGATATGAAATAGCGTCAGAACACACTCTCCACACACTGGAGCAGCGTCGCTGTCGATACGGTCTGAGAAAATTTGCAAAATACAAATTCAAATCAGTTTTGTCGCGTTAACTCGGTCGCTTGGTTGGCTGAATTGTTGGGCGGACGGCGGATGTTTGTTGCTGCATATTTCCTTAACAAAAAAAAGCGAAGTGAATCGAGCGGATAGCAAAGTTGTTTCTTCACAAGCGCACACAAGCGTGTGCTCACATAAATGCATACATACATACAAACATATTTTTATATTTGATTAATCGGCGATCGTTAATCACTAAAATTCAAAAATAACAAATAGATTTGTTAAAAAATATTTTACTTGTCAGCGCATTGATTCGAAAAGTGTTGATAAGCAAGCGAAAAGCGTGAAATTGTGCACAAATGTGAGAAGTGATCGAAAAATATATATCTATATTCATAAAAAGTGCAAAAAATTTGTGCAAACATTATTTGTTGTCAAACAGATTTATAAATATCAAAAACTTAGCTTAAGCGCAGAAAAGAAAAGTGCTTTGCCAACGCGTGACATCGTGAGCGTTAAAATCATAAAGCACAGAATTGTAAACTCGAGCTCGCAAATTTTACATTTTTTCAAACTACACACGCCGCCACTATGAGCTGGTACGTTGCGCATTGCTGCTTTCAATTACATACATATACGTATTTTTTCTGATTTTCTTTTAATAAAAACAAATAACACTTTTAATATTGTACGCTTGTTTATAGCACATTTGGCGCTGCTCTGTCTATGGCGCAGAGACATACGCACGCATGCACGCACGCACGAATCTGAGCAAGTTCTCCCCAGAAACGGCTTGTCGCTTTATGTACAGTAGGGTGGTCCTTAAATTAAATGAACGATTTTTTTCAGTCCCGATTGGAGACGGTTAAGGCGTGTCGCACAGGGGGCAAAGTTCACATTCCTCTATGGAGACAATAAAATTAATTTTTTTCTATCTAATACCCAAAACGGCACTTCCATAGTCGAGGATATCGCATTGAAAATTTCTGTCCCGATTAAAGTCGGTAAAAGCGTGTCGCAAAGGGGTCAAAAGCCAGATGCCTCTATGGAAGCAAAAAATTAGAAATATTTGTTTTCAATTAATACCCAAAATTGATACTACTAAGGTCGGGAATATCACATATTAATTTTAATCTGGGTAATCTGAACTTTGACCTCTGTGCGACACGCCTTAACCAACTTCAATCGGGACCAACATTCATAAGTTATATCTTCGACTGTGCTAGCATCGCCGTAGAGGTTGAGGCTTAGGAAATCTGGTGTAAAAATTTGCTTCCTATTTTTAAGGACCACCCTAATGCGCATACATACATATTTACAAAGCTTGTTAATGTGCCACGCGCTGCTGCAAGGGCGCCGAGATTGTCGACTGCAAAATAACGACAGTCGGCTATTAAAAGCCGCGGGGTGGTGCGTCGTTAGGGCAGCGATGTGTGCTGCATGCAGTCTGTCTTATGAACCATTTGTTTGTGCAATTTGTGTGGATGAAATGTGGAATTCCAATTTTTTTCGGTCCCAATGAATACTTCATCTTGTAAACAATGCGTAGCATCTGCTTTTGTTTAATTTTTGCAAACTGCGGATGGATTTACATACTACGCTCCAGATCATAGAACACGTCCAAAATGCAAGTACTTAAATGTGAAATGTTAGTGTAATTTAAGAAGTGAGCAAGTTTCTAAATTACTTCCACATGTAATTTAGTCATCAAGTAAAGACGTTGGTGATCACAGGAATGGTCACATAGGTCCGGTTTCGTTAATCGTAGAGCATGGTGCTGGATATACAAACCTCACAATTATAGTTAAGGA